GGATGTCTGTGCTTTAGTGTTCCCCCCCCAGCCATAACAGTTGGAAGTGCCTTCAACAAAGTGTCTTGCTTTTAAAATTATTAGGGAAGAGACCGGTGTAGCAGTTTTGGGAGAAACTAGGTTATTTTTTTGAATATTAAGCCGCCAAAGCACCACAGTAGTGATTTGAAAGTAACTGAAGTTATTTGGGTGGTAAGACCTTTTTGGTTATATTTTAATATTTCAAAACGGTTAATATGGTAAATTAGGTGGAGAGACTCTGTTCCTGGAGCCAAAGATACTACAAGACTGATTAGGGAAGTGATCTAACATACTTCCCTTTATAGCAGGAGTTGTTCTCTGCCACCAGTGGGAGAAACTTACTGTTGCTTGACTACTGTTTGGGGCTGAATTTAGCATTTGAGTCTGTACCTGCAGCGTGTTTATTGGGGTATTTTAGAAAAGCTGAATTTGAGAGTTTGGGTTTTTATTGCTTGTCATGAATGAAAAGCTCAAGTCTTTGGATAGTGTAAGTTAGCTGAGAAACTTTCATCAAAAGCTTTCTCATTTAATAACCCAGTCAGCTTTTTTTGTACAAAGGAAGTATAATTTTGTGAATGATGTAGAGCAAAACTACTACTGACATGTAGGTATGTTGGTAAGAAGTGTGTATGGATACCCAAACTGGGTTTCTCCAAAAATAATAATGAATAATGTTTTTATTCCTATAGCATCACCCTTGGTGGATTTGGTGCCGATCGTTTCTATTTGGGCCAGTGGCGGGAAGGTCTGGGAAAACTCTTCAGCTTTGGTGGACTTGGAATATGGACGCTAATTGATGTGCTGCTAATAGGTGTTGGCTATGTGGGACCTGCAGATGGCTCTCTGTATATTTAAATGTGGGTGCAACATGTTTTGGAGAGGAGTAATTGCTTGGAAAGGGCTCTGAATAAAAGAATGTAGAGATGCGAGCCTTTCAGGTCGAGTGAAGAACATCTGTTTTTCTATGTGCATACTTTTTAATGTACAGTATCTGTACTTAGATTGCCTTTAACTAAGGTAAAATAAAAGAGTGGATCACTGAGTAAGTTGAAATTCATTTCTTTCCTTTGATGGACATGCTATTTTTCTATGAAAAAGGAACAGCTAACCCGATTCTGCCCTTGAACTTGGATAATCTGTCAAGCACCAAAAGAGATGCAAGCTAACTTGAGTATTGAGTTGTTTACTTCGTATTTGTATGTTTGAATTTGACTTTAAAGTGAACTTCCCTAAATATTGTAGTAATGTATTTTTTTGTGTTAGTGGGAGTATAATTTACTTGCCTGACTGTGTCTAGCAGTATGTAGATCACCATGTTTCATGATGTTAATTACATTCGTATCTTGTTTTGGGATATAGTAAGAGCTCACATTTGCTTAGTGACTTGATGACTTAACATTGTGCAGTTTAAAGTCAGATTGCAGTAACTCTGAAAGCTAAATATAACATAATTGAAATAGATTTTGGGATCCTTCCAGAATGTTTTTATTCAGGGTCGGTTTGACTTGTGTGTCAGTAACAGGTACAGTTGCTATTCTTGTGCTAGCAAACTTGTCAAGGTGAATTACAGGAGGAGGGTTTGCAATATAATCCACGCGTTGTACCACAGTGATGTAGCAGCCTGTAGTGCCCCTGCGGAAGAACGAAGCGGTTGCGTTCGCTTACACACCCCGAGGTGACTGCCGACCTCTCGGCCGGGCGGCCTTTTGCCGTGCCCCCCTTCCTGCGCTGGCCTTGCCGCGTCGCTGCTGTAGCACCGAGATGCGGCGCTGGGAACCGTGACGTTTAATGAACTCGAACGTCCCTCCTG